GAGGAGAAAGCCAAAAGTGGATGTATGTCAAGATTGGCCGAACCACTCTAAATCTTGGTTTGCATTTACATTCTGCTCTTTATCTTAACTGCAAACTGTCTTCGTTGTTTTACATTAACTATACTTTCGTTTGCTCTCAAATTAAAGATATTTCTGAAACGGTTTTCATACGAAGTCTTTTTGAATCGACGAAGGTTTTCATACGAAGTCTTTTTGAACCGACGAAGGTTTTCATACGAAGTCTTTTTGAACCGACGAAAGCTTTCCGCTGCACTAATTCCCCCCCCCCCCTCTTCCCCCCCCCCTCTTAGTGCTCTTGATCCTAACAATTCAAACCTACAAAATTATATTAGAGCATTTACGATAAAAATTCTCCGATGTTTAAATTATATATGGATTCAAATGATCTAAATATTAATAAAAATTAAAAAAATTCTTTTCAAAGATGCACTATGATCTTTTTTTTAATAATTTATCGGGATGAACAGTGAAAAATATCGTTAATATTTATGTACATCATCTTGATATCATTTGATTATAAGAGCATTGAACCATGATCTATATAATTATGAACTAATCACTTTAATATCAAAGACCAAATATTGTTATTTCATATCAGAGTCATCATCCTTGTTGATACCATATTATCATTCTTGTATGATGGGATTAACCTGACGTGTCAATTATGCAATACAATATCAAGTTGCCTAAGTATTATACCACCTATATCAACATAGAACATCATTTTTTTTTCATAAATTGTAACTTAATTTTTAAATAAACTATATTTCCATGTCATACAAATCCCATCCAGTTCATTCACCATCTCAACCTAATTTTTAAATAAACTAATAACATAAATTCATTTCAACCATATATAATTAGAACCGATGTTATGATGACCTCAAGCAATTTAACTCTTACATAAAATATTTCTTTTACCCCATATTTGATTTGTCATGACTTAATCGTTCCATTAGTTTATAAGGATGAGATCAACTAGTTTTGTAAATTTACATCAATATCTTTTATATCAGGACTTGGATCTAAAGTGATATATGTAACAAATTGTACGTATCAAAATGTTTGATTTAATGTTTATATATACTCATTATCTAAAACTATATGAAACTTCGAGATAATGTCTAGGGATGATTGATGACTTGGTTTGGATATTATACAATAATTTTTATATACGATAAGTTATTTTGGATTATTTGTCATACGACTATTTAAAATTTTTAGAATTAATTTTTAAATTTATATTAGTTATAAATTTAGAATTAATTTTTACTTGGTTTCGATATTATAAATTTTTAAATTTATCTCAAGGAAACAAAATTAATGTAATCCAAAAATCGAATGCCAATAT